GGTTACACTTCGGAGCAAAGTTCCGGCGGCTGTGAGGAAACACAGGCTGCGCCGAAGGTCCACCACTCGAATAAGTCGGGTGGACCTGGACAAAGATGTATCCCTAGCGGGGAACATCTAGATGAGAAACGATCGATCGCTCAGGTTAAGCGAAACGATAATCCTAGATCGACTGGAGAGTCTTTCGTAGAGGATCTCGCTGTGGTTGCGCAACCACAGCTAGAGGAGGTAAAGGGAATAAGTCCCGATATCACAAATACGGCGGAAATAAGTTCCCCGAAACCCGCGGGAATAAGTCCCCGGGAAGCCGAAGGAATAAGTCCTTCGAAGCCTGAGGGAATAAGCCCCCAGGAAATGACAGAGACATTGAATGTCATAGTCAATAACGGATCAAGTGTAGGCGCTTATACACTTGATCTGATTGCGCCTCCGAAGTTAACTTCGGAGATCACTCACTTGCCAACGCTCGAACATAAAAGGTTCTTGCGTGATCTGCGTAGTGGCAAAGTCAAGCAGATCTGCGTACTCGTCGCTGACGACGAGTGTGTAACCGACATAAGGTCAGCAACAGTGTTTACTGAGAACGAGAGAGTTCTCAGTAGTTCATCTATGGACGAGAGTGTCCTAGATGAAAAGACACGAATTGAGCGATATGACTCCCAATCGTGGGAATCGCTCAAGACAAATCCTCTCTATGAAGATTTGGTTGAATTCAAGGATGTATTCCCTGAAACTGTTCCGTGCGAATTACCGAAGGATAAAGGTATTCGACACGAGGTCGATCTTAAACCAGGCTCGAAGTACTGTGTCATAAAGCAGTGGCCACTGCCTCGTGAACAAGTACTTGCGATCGACAAGTTCTTTGCCGATCGTTTAGCTGCGGGCCATGTGAGGGAATCAACTTCCCCACATAGCTCTCCGACCTTCTGTGTGTGAAAAACAACAGGAGGGTGGCGGATAGTGCATGCATTTAACAAGCTGAATGCTGCAACGGTACCGGCTCAGACGCCGATACCAACGAAGGACGTCATCATTGATGGTATGTCAAAGAGTACCATCTTTTCGTCCATGAATTTGATGGATGGCTTCTATCAAATCCTTATGCGGGAACGGGATATACCCTATACCGCAGTTAGCACGACTAGCGGCATGCTCTGGGAATGGCTAGTAATGCCACAAGGGCTTAGTAATGCCCCTGCCACGTTCAACAGATGTGTATCACATCTGTTGAGACCAGTACAAGAATTCGCGCCGAGTTATTTCGATGACGTATTCACCCATAGTCGAGCTATGGATGGAAAGCCGGACGTTGAGGTTCACAGGTACCACGTCCGACAGGTTCTTACAATCATGCGAAAACATTAATTGTATGCTAACCTCAAGAAGTGTATATTTGCAGCAAGTGAAATACCACTTCTTGGGTGCATCGTTGGTAAGAAAGGTGTACGTCCTGATCCCGAAAAGATCAAGGCGATCACCGACTAGCCTGTGCCGGTTGATGTCAAAGGTCTTCGAAAATTCCTTGGGCTAGCGGCATATTTGCATAAGTATTCACGCAATTACGCCGAGATGACTGTGCACCTCTCTCGTTTGTTGAAAAGAACGAGAGGTGGTTATGGAACGCTGAATGTCAGCGCTCCTTTGATGGTATCAAGAAGAGCTTGATACAATCCCCAGTCCTAGCAATAGCCGATCAGTACAGGCCATTTCATGTGGTCTGTGATGCCAGCGATTTCGCAATCGGCTGTGCATTAATGCAGTACGACCTAGAAGGCGTTGAACGCGTTGTCTCCTATCAGTCGCGTCAGCTGCAACCAGCTGAGCGGAACTATCCAGTGCATGACAAGGAACACCTTGCCATGAAGTATGCACTCGCGAAGTTCAGAGTCTATCTATTAGGAGATAGACCCTTCATTGTTTGCACTGACCATGCGTCATTACGCACGGCAGCGAACAGCCCGCACCTTTCACAACGAATGGCGCGGTGGTTGTCATTCTTTGCGGAATACAACTTTACGGTCGAGTACAAACCAGGACGACTCAATGTTGTCGCTGATGCACTCTCACGTCGTCCCGACTTTGAAACAGTCGCGAAACCCAACAGTGAGACAGTCACTGTTGCGGTTATGACGTCCTCAGTCCTATCTACACCGTTGTATGATGATGTGAGGCGGGCATACGCCCAAGATGGTGAGATTGTGAAGTTGTTGACACATCTCTCACAGCCATCTCGAGAATCGCTGAAACGATTGTCGTCTGCGTATCGATCTGCATCAGATCGATACACTACTCGCAACGGGTTACTGTACTATACAGCCGTTTCTGGTGACACACCACGTGTTACCATTCCAGATGATACTGATCTGCGTTTGCGGATCATGTTCGAGTATCTCGATGCTCCTATAGGAGGACATCGTGGCCGAGAGAAAACATATCTCACGGTGAGTCGAGACTTTTACTGGCCCCGCCAGTATCAGTTTGTGCGAAAGCATGTTCGCGCATGCGAATTCTGTCAACGAGTGAAGTCAAGTCCTTCACTGCGTGCACCTTTACAGCCTCTACCGGTTCCGGCTGAGTGCTGGGAATACATCTCAATGGATTTCGTCTTCGGGTTACCCAAAGACGCACGCGGGAATACGGGTATTCTCGTTTTTGTTGACAGATTCAGCAAAATGGTACACCTTGTGGCTGTACCAGAGTCAATCACAGCAAGTGGCTGTGCTTGTGTCTTTATTGACACCATCTTCCGACTTCATGGGTTGCCCCGTGAACTCGTATCAGACAGAGATCCACGATTCACTGCTGATTTCTGGCGTTCCGTGTTCAAATACTCGGAACGCGCTTGAAGATGTCTACATCTGATCATCCAGAGTCAGATGGTCAGACGGAACGTGCCAATCGTGTCCTTGAAGAGATACTTCGAGGATACGTACACTCCTTTAAGAGCTGGAGTGAGTTTTTGCCAATGGTAGATTTTGATATTAACAACTCGGTGCATGCGTCCACGACACATACACCGTTTTACGTGAATGGCTTGCGCCATCCGCGTGTACCCACCTTACTAGAGTGTAACTCTGGTTTAAGGGGGGAGGGACTCGCGCGATCAAAAAACGATTTGGTTCACGCTCATCCCGCTCTGACGAAGATGTCATTGCGTTTGGTGCCGATATCGATAACATCGATATCGAAGAAGATGATGCCAGTGAGAGTGCGGAAGCCCTCACTAAAGAAAAGGTTGATGTTGCTGCAGTGCGCTCACAGCGCACTGGAGCTAACGAGTCATCAGATGAGTTCATACTGGCTCGTGAAACGGTAGTCCGTTTTGTGCAAGACTCCATCGCCGAAGCGGTGGATAAGCAAAAGCAAAACACAGACAAGAATGGAAGGGCAAACACTCTTTTATTTAATAAAGGTGACTTAGTCCCTACTGTCTACGGTTAATCTACCAAAGCATGTAGTGACTAACTTGGGTAGCAGTAAACTACTACCCAAGTACATCGGCCCATTTCGTGTATTGCACCGCCTAGGCAATGCATACACGATCGAGTTACCACGTAAGATGCGAACGCATCCCACGTTTTACGTTGGTCGGCTTAAGCCGTACCATCAGTACGCTGCTTCTTCCGATGAAGAACGCCCTTGCGCTCAAGCATCTCGCAGAGAGCCTTGTGCTCCCGATGGTGGGCATCAACAAGGGTCTGAAGAGCAGTTATCTCACCCCGAGACCGATCAACAATCCCACGAGCTACCCGTAGCTCGTCACGAAGAGACGTCAGAGATCTCTCGTTCTCAAGCTGAGCAAAGGCAAACTCAGCTCGATGCTTCGAGACAGCGTCCGCCATTTGGAGACGCCTGTCCCGCTCATGTTCGAGATCGTTGCGTAACCCTTGCGTTACGCGATCAAAGAAGCTCTCGGGAACACACGGATCCCCATGGTCGTGTGGAGAGCGTCTTCCCTCCTCCTCCACCTCCATTAGAGGACTCTCGCGGTGGCCAGCGCTATCTGGATGAGCAGCTGTTGAACCACCGCGACGTGAACGGACGTCGGACGAGTTATCTCGTCCGGTGGCGCGGCTATCCCCCGTCCTGGGATTCTTGGGAGCCCCGCTCCCAACTGATGATCGACGTACTGGGTATGGTTGAGCAGTACGATGCGGCGCATCCTGTACCGCAGAAGGACCGCCGGAGAAAGTCTTCCCGGCACGGTCGTAAAGGGATTTCAGGTTGTCAATCCCTTCGTACATCTCAGTAGAGATACGTACGCGCCACCACGGGCTATTAGGGAGGTAAGCCTCCTTAGGTGCTCGTGCAGAGTTGTTCACACAAGATGGGCACGAGTCTTCCCAAGAGAGGCAGGGTAATCCTTTCTCCCTTGACAGACGATGCAGCTTGTAGCGTGCACCTGTTGGGGTTCGCTTTTCAAACTTATCACGAGCTTTGATAAGTTTGTCGTTCCAAGCGTCACGACCTACATCCTCGAGGTTATGGATGTAGGCGTTCCACGCTTGAAGCAGTGAGGGACCATCACGTTTGTGATTCCCACTGTACCATCGATGTTTAAAGAAAGCATCGATGAAGAATTCATGTTCAGCGCGATAGTTTTTCGCGCTGGGGTCAAGGTGATGGATCCTTGACGAATCGAACAACCGTGTTCGATACCGATCACTCGTCGTCGCCGACAAGTGATCCATGACCGATTTTGGAGGCATCCATGCCTTCTTCTCAGGAGCGAGACGCAACACATTGCGGTCCCGCTCTTCCTGCGATGTGCCGACAGAAGTACTGGCACCTCGCTGTGAAGTGGTGTCAATAGGAGAACCGAAACCACTGTTAGCGCCCGAGTCTCGCGACCTCGAGCGCCTTCGCTTCGGCGATGGTTCATCTGATTCATCAGATGAACCAAAGATGCTACGACGCATAGCATCATCCATGCCACGCTTGGCAGGCGGCTTGGATTCGATCGCCGTCGATACGGATCCGTCTTCCGTATCAGGAGAGTACTAGACACCGAGCTCGTACTCTGTGAAGACATGAGCGTCTTCATGACCAGTGCCTGCATCACCATGTGACACAGGCTGGGCCGCTTCAGCAACCGATGAGACATCAGTTGCTGTGGTTTCTGCTTCGGCGTCCGCACAGAGACGTGCGGACGCGCTCTCGGCGGCCTTGCACGCGCATCGCATGGGCTTGTTAACCATGCTATAAACTGTTGGAAAGTGGACTCGGACCAACAAGTGTAAACCCTGTCCCAAATGATTTGGGACGAGCATCCATTTAGTCAATCAGTCACTAAAGTGACTGATGGTTAAGGGGGGGTGATGTAACGGGGTGAATCGTTACATAACATTTTATAAGACATTGTCAGTAGAATATAACTATAAGAGTTATTTTCTGAGAATATTGTCATAAGGACAATTATTCTGTAGCACTTACGAGTAGTTCCTAATTGGTTGATATAGGCCATTATATCAACCAACGAAGACGCGCCACGACAGACGCACGCAATGAGTGGTGAGCAGATAGTTGATATAAACATTTTTATTTAGACATAGTTAGATGAAGATAAACAGTGGTTGATTAACAGACATTAACTATTATAAATACAGTTCTACTTTTTACTCTAACCAAGTACTCGCTTCTTCTTACCGTCTTCCTCTGCACGTACGGGTGTACGTGAAGTTACGAGGCACCGCCTTATTCTGTCATCAGAATAAGTAGCTTGTACTGTCACCAGTACAAGCTTCAGGGTGCCCCGTTACACCTTCCCCACAACGCAGTTAGTCGTCTTAGAACTTTGGCGTGACGCAATGGATGATAGCCTAGACAAACAGTAGGAACAAGTAGATGCTGAAGAAAGAAGCTGAATAGAAATATACGGGGTAGATGACCAAGTCTTACTAAAAAAATCTTATAATTTACCGTCAAATGTAGCGTCTGATATGTCGAAGGCAAACCTGCATTGCCTCATTGGACCATGCACGGTTGTAGTCAAAAACGGACTTGCGTATAAGCTCAAATTACCACGAAATTTCTTACACACCCTCTGTATTAAGTAGGCCTTCGTAAGCCGCAAAGGGATCTGTCTTGAATTTATCAGGAGGCACTTGCGCCGTGAATGGTATCTTCACACAGGTCGCTTTTCTAAATAAGGAGGTGTCCGTCCGCTTCTGACTCTTTCTATTCGCCAACATACGGACTTGCACCACGTCAAGCGTGCGCTGGGTCTAACACAAAGGCTCGTGCCGACTGTTCACCTTGAAAGTATATCCACATGGGCTGCATCCAACACACCAAAAGCTACCAGTATTTCTTGACGAGAAAAGGAACCTCCCGTTTTCTTTTGGAGAGGTTGCTGAAACATCGTCGTTGTCATGGACGAAATGAGTATATGTTAAAGTGCTGGAATTAACCTGAGTATGGGATCTCATGGAAGTATTCGATACCCTCTCAACAAGATTAATTTGCCGTAAATGTTACGAATCCATGAAGGGGGTCAACTCGCCATCTCTCATGCTTCTCACGAGTAATGAGGGCTCCTTGCGGATTCACGACCGAAGTCCAATGTATATTTGCATAGAACGGCAAAGCTGGGACGAAGTGCGAGCATAAAATCGCCTGCTAATGGCCTTTGTCCTTCAAAAAAGCAGAGCCATGTCGGACTTTTCTTAGATACTGACGTCAGTCTCGTCAACTCTTGCTCTTTTAAATACCATGCTGCCTAAGTGTCGCGCTTTGTGCACCTCGCACGTAAACGCATCTTCTTCTTCGGATGCCAAATCTCCTTAGCCTAGGAGTAGAGGGAAACCTCATGTCGGTGGAGCTCGTACACCATGAACTTGCTATGCAAGCCTTGCCTCATATTGGCATTTTACTAAAACAAATGCACCAGGTATCTATCGCTTATGCACTGCGCGCTTCGACGTCTCCTGATATGTTGGCTGCTGGACTGATGATCCACAATGCCATTAAATTTTCCACAGTCTGTCGAAGAAGTTCTTCTAATTAGGAAAGAAAAAAGGTAGCATGATATTCGAGTGTCGCCATTATCGAATATAATCGCTAAGCACTCCCTCGTTTTTAAATAACCTTCTTTTGCTGTGCATCTAGCGGGTTTGTGATAATCACTCAAAATACGCAGGGGGTTTCATGTGCAGCGCAATATATGCATCCGCAGCTTCCCGTTCAGAGGACGAATTCGGTGTCTACCTCGGTCTGTAGTCGCAAACTGGTTTTCGGGCTTTCACGTCGAAATTACTAATATAGTCCACATCATTTCTTTAAAACCGAAGACGTCAGAAAGGGTTTTTGACTCGTCAGGCGTTGCCATACAATACGAGCAAAAAACGCATTTTTTAAGAATAGCCCTTGACTTTGATGATGCAAAAACTCGATCGGCGTTATTTGGTCAAGTCAGTTAGGAGGAGGGGGGTGTCACGGGGTCAAACGACCGTTACCTTACGAAAGAATTAACATTGTGTATGTGATTTACAGTTCCAAGTTTATATGAGATAGCTCTTGTGGTTGACAACATCAGTCATACATTTATGACAGATTGTAAAACCATCTACCAATCTCTTGGGATACTGACGATTGCTATGGGAATTAGTCTAACCTTAGCATTGAGTAGTTGAATGAGATTAATTACAGACAAAACTTAGAATAAAATGACAGTTTCCATTTTGATTGATGATCGACGCGTGTCGAGTTTAGGCGTCGGCAGATCGTAAAGAGTGAAAGAAATTGTGGTGTGTAGTTTAAGGCACTTTGTGTGTAAGATTCTTGGAATCGTTGTAAGTCTCCTGAACCCAGTACTAAAAGCTACATGATAAGTTATAAAAATTTGGAGATTCTATAGAATAGTACATACTTAGTTTTGTAAAACCAAGTGACATCTAGATTCGTAAGTCTTCTTCTGATAAATAGCTGAGTAGCTTGACTATACCTAGTAGAAACTGTAGTCAGTCCTCCACTGTAGTCGCAAAACTTTTAGTCTTTTGAGAAAGATTTCTATCTCTCTGAGAAAAACGCATCGCGCTATTTAAACCTAAAAAGATGTTTGTGATCAATCAAATCGATCATATTGTGCTCTAAGACCTAGAAGTGCTAAATGAGCGGCTGGACGCTTTAGTGAAAATTGTGACCGCGCTCATCGGACAGGTACACAACCATGTGGCATCGGCTATGCAAACACACTACATCACTATGCTTGCTGAGAGCCTTAAAGATTGTCCACTCGTTCTGAGTGTCATCAGCTTCATACATTATAGGGAGAAAAGTTTCTTCCCCAGATCGAAAGGTCGAATTGGCGTGGAGCGCCACTGTGCTGCAAACCGAGCCGCAGAGAGTTTGCCTGGCCATGCAAAGCTTGGAGGCGGGTCAGAGAATGGGTTCGGATGTTTATCACTTCTGTAGAGGCCGCATTTTACACGTAAGGTTTGCTCAGAAGGTAGATGTCTCGCATGTTAGCACCTTCTTATCAGTCGTATCGATTGCGTTCACGCTTCCTATTTATCCGACAAGGACGATAAAGTCACTGGTTTATGTACATGACTTGAGAGCTCTTCTTGCTGCTTTGCGTTTTGTTTCCCCTCTCTGACAAAGTCCGCATAACCATTTTGATGGAAGAATAGCGTACTGGGGTCGCTAGGACAGGAGTTTTATGTGACTATCCCTTGACTTTTGAGGAGGCAGTAGTAATTGCGTTAGACGCCTAGTTAACCATTAAAAAGGCTCGCTACTGTACACATGAACGTGCCCGGTTTTGATTGTTAGGGATTAGATATCGGGGCGAGAGCGCTATTACTTAAACATACACTTACGGTCTTACGAGGAAGCGATAGAAGATCAACCGTGTCAAGCGCGTGCTTTTATTAGATTAGTTTGAGCTCTTATATTTTGTTATTTTTATTGTAGTTTTGTATTTCACCCTAAGTACGAATGGTCTCGTGGCCGCGAGAGCTACTCAACTAAAGCTCGCATGCTGTTGGCTAATTACGAGTCTGACCCACTTTGTAGCAAAATATGAGTATGACGCACTGCACCACTACCTTGGGTGCAGTGTGTAACTCCTTAGACGCATTTAAACCCACTTGGGGCTGACAAATTGAGTATATGTTCGAGTTGCTTTTAAAGTCGTATAAGGGAACACATCGTTACAGCTGGGCCCATGGATCACAGTCATGCACTTGAAGAAGAGACAAAATTAAAAGGTGCGGAACAGTAACGTAACATCCTTAGATGTTGCACGTAGCGGAAGCACAAGGCATCTCCGTCCTTTTATTTTTTGTGCGAACCACGGCAGAATTTGCCAAGACGTCATTCCGCTACAAACCAGAACACTGTTAGGGCGCGGGAAACGTAAGGTCTAAGCGGGCGTGGGAGTTTTAAAGATTACAAATAGGCTTAGTAAAGGCTCTAGGAGGTAGAGCTGAACACGGCTAATTCTCAAATGGCCTTGTTGACTCATAAAACAAGGCGTGACTACACGTCAGGCTGATAAGTTGGCCCGATAAACGGTTAAAATTGTGTTCGATTTAAAAAAATTGAGACATCAGCCAATTAAACTCGACGCCTTTCGCTTGAGGAGATTCAGCACTATTCTAAGTCTCTAAAATTTTAATATGCTTCAAGCGGAAGCGAGCAATTTCGAAGCAGAATAAAGCAGTCTTGCCACAACATACTATTTTTGGTGCTATATATCCGTATTAATGTCAAGTGGACGCATGAGGCTTGTAGACGGACAAGATCTCTTATTCCATGTATTACTACCCAGTGCCGATAGCAATTGAAGCCGTAGCATGTCCATGCTTTTGACGAAAACATGCGAGTACATCATGTAAAAGAATACAAAATAAAGCAGTGGCAGACACGAAGTATTTAACATCTAGCCACAATCGATTTTGCATCGATATTCTGTCATTTTGATCAGTTATCGCTGCTAAAATTCTACACGATTGTAGATAAAAATCCCCCGGTAGCTACATGCACGCACGACAAACGCGTAAAGGCGTCGGTGCATCTGGAATCTTGTGCTGGTACATGCAGCTATGAAACGAATAAATTGACCAACCATCACACATTCAGGAGCCACCTATAATGCTCCCTTCTACGATTACGAGATACAGCGTTTAGTCGTCAGAATATGTCATCTGTTGTTAGAGTTTTTGTGCACTACAGCCAGTCT